TCTTCCGCGTGAAGACCGCAGTGGTCGGAACGATCGAGCCGCTTTAAGCGCGCCCTGGGTGGTGCGTGGCTATGACCAAAGGCATGGGATCGACTTCGACCAGACGTTTGCTCTGGTCAGTCGCCACAATAACCTCCGTCCGAATCCTGCTTGCCATCGTCAGCCGTAAGACACCTGCCTCTCCGCAAGATCGACGTCAAGAACGCGTTCCTGTACGCGTTAGTAGACGCCGTAATCTACGTGGAGCAGCCGCATACATACGGCGAAAGGGACTCGCGCGTATGTCAACTGCTGCGAGTCCTTTACGGGATCAAGCAGGCACCGAGGCTGTGGCAGCAGTATCTTCACAACATTCTGCCTGGAATCGGGTTTCAAGCAGATGCCGCACAATCCAGGGATGTACCGCCGTGATTTCCGCGTGAATACATTCTCCTAACGGTCTAACGTCGACGACCTGCTCTACACGGGATCAAGCAACGAGTTACTCGAGCAGTTCGAGTAAAGCATGGCTGGGCGCGTCGACATCACGTGCAACTACGAGGTGAAGCAGTTCTTAGGCCTCAACATCTCCTACGCGCCTGAGGCCATTCACCTCTCAGCGGCCAAGTACGTAGCGGAGTTTAGGAAAGCGATTCAACATCTCACCTGCACCGCTCTCCACTCCCTACCGACTCCAGGACCGAACCACAAACCTGACAACAAAGCCCTATCCCCTGCTGGAGTCAAATTACCAACAGCAGCTGGGATGCCTGCTCTTTGCCTCTCTCACATGCAGGCCTGACCTCTACTACATCGCAAGTCAGCTGGCCCAGTACTCACGCAAACCAACGGCTAGAAATCTTCTTGACTGCAGCGCGCCTATAGTTTCTTCGTCTCAACGCCCAAGATTTGGCTGTGCTACCTCAACTGCACCAACCCCCATCATTCAACCTCATCGACTACGTGGACGCCGATCACGAAGCAGATCTCGAAAATCGACGGTCCAGGACTGGCTTCCTGTCCGACTCGAACCAACGGGACCAATCTCCTGGAACTCGCAGAAGCAGAGTTGGTTGCCCTGTCGTCAGCCGAAGCGGAATTCATCGTAGCAACTGCAGCAGTTCGCGAAGGCCTCTACTTGGAGGAACTTCTGCAGGAGGCGAAAATTCGAACTTTGCCCACCTTCGTCTTTACTTTACTGCGACAACCAGAGCGCGTTTCGCATCGTGAACAAACTGGTTTCTTCAACCGCACCAAGCACATTGCGCTGCGTATTTCTTCGTGAAGGACGAAGTGGACAAGGGCAAGGTTGACTTGACCTACTGCCCCCGACTGGTGACATGGCAGCAGACTTTTCTCACGAAGCGACTGCTGCCACGCCAGTAGTATCAACACACTGCTCCTAACTCAGCGGAGTGGTCAAGCAGGTCAAGTCGAGCTGCGGCCAGCATGAAGGGGGGTGTTACGAATAGTAATGCTTGAACATCACAAGTCACTCCTCACCGCCAGCTAAGGAAACACGCTGTAACGAGAACGAATGAGAGGAGTCAGAATTGACTCGAAGCGCCAGACCGTTTAGGGTGGATCTGGCCGTCGGAGCAGACGGCATCAGGCAGCTGCAGTTAGGAGGAATTGGGCGGGAACAGTTTCGTAACTGTACGCGCCACACGGTTGGGAATGAACTTGAATAAGGGAATGTACCCCTTAGAGTACATGGCTAGCTAGGTCGATTCATATTCCCCTGTACTCTTATTTATATCGCTGTATTTGCATGTTTAAAATCATCTCAAGAATTTTACATTCACTCTGCTATTGAGGTCAACTCACTTAGTCTATCTATCTGCGTGCGAACCTTCCCGAGGAGATCCTGGCAGCGTTCATCTTTTGATCGCAGCAGGAATGATGGGATTATGAATGTGGGTGATATAATAGAAAACCCTAACTAAGTTGTACTCACTAAGGCACCTCATTACAACCTATTGCAAATAACAACATTTGACACTTTAAAGCTTCATCGAATTCGCAGATTATTATGTCACATCGTTCTGTGTTATACATCGATCGCTAGCCCACTCTCTCGCCTACTTTGTGAGGGCATATAATTCTATTGGGTTCCAGTACAGTGTTTCTATACGATGAAGTAGGGTGCTACGGAAGGGAATACATAAATTCCTTGTAAGATCTATTGGAGCGAAGTAACGGAATTCAGATTCTGTACTCTACTAGGTTTACACTCGTTATGTGCTCCCTCAACAATTACGAAACTTGACTTTCCAACCTGCCTGATTCTATTTCCGTAATTCATCCTTCTCATATACAACCCCCCACAAGAGGACAACGGAACAACGGTGCCTGAACTTGAGTTTGGCGGGAAAACTGCCGCGAACCGTTCCCACCAAACCTACCTCAACGGTAATTCGGAGCAACAGGTGGACACCACCCCTGAATGGCGCGGGCTTTTGAACCACCACCCCGTTCGGATCTCCTTGCCAAGAAGCTCAGGGCCACCCGAAGCACCTAAACGAAGCCAGAAGCCAAACCGAACCTCTCGCTGCTTCACCTGTGTGGTTGGTTGCTGCATCCGTGTCGCTTTGTTCTGGGCTTGGCAGGCCAAGCCGCCTGCCCCTTCCCTGACAAGGACATATGGGAGCCCTCCAAGGGCTGGCGGGTGTTTCTCACACCAAGCAGCAAATCTGCAAGGCGCGGGCAGGCACTGCCTGTTGCTTATTGCATACGGACGTTCTACTGGGCTGGCCACCTGCAAAACTAGCTTCATTTCTGCCCGAGTTTAGCTTGTGTTCAGAGTAGGCTTTGGTCATCGGCTTGGCAAGCAGCCCTTGGGCTTCCCTCGCAGTTGCCAGTGTCTGCTGCGCTGCTGCGTGGTGCTGCTTGTTTGGGGGACGGACCCGCTCTCATGGAAGTCCCTGACATGGACTTAGCTACAGTGTCTTAGCTTATTTTGCAGGACTTGACGGCTTATGTTTCCTGTCAGACTCGTGACTTCCACCAAGCAGCCATAAGAAGAGCGATGCAACACTGACTGCTGAGCATTACACTGCTCGCCAAATCGAAATAATTCTGCCTGTTCTTGGCTGTTACTTAGTCGCGACGTTTGTCCAGCTGACGGAATACCTGGCTGCATTTGTATACTAACCTCACCAGTAAAAACTAACCTAGCTCCACGAATAAGAACATCAGTAGGCTTTCCAGGGGAAAAATAGTTCCTGAATGCTAGCGAGATAGATACGATTCTTATTAGCAAGTAGTTAATGTTATTTTATACCCGACCAAGACATGCGATAATGACGGATAACCGTCCGTACATGCCTAGCGTGGCAGGAGCGTCAGGAGATCACGAAACGCTGACCAGTTATCCCGAGCCTCATGGCAGCGGAGCTCCGCAGAGCAGCGGGGGGTACGAGATAGGCCATTCCAGCGGCATTCCGCGCGACAAGGAAGGACGTGCTTAGGACGCTGCCTCCCGTGACTGGGTGAGTGTGGCTTCACATTAGATGCGAGCCCTGACTAGGGGTACCGAAGCCAGAGTACAGCTGGTTGCTTTTCGCACGACCGCTACGTGACAGCTCAGTCCTAGTCGTCGCGGCAAGGCCAATCCGTCGTGAAGAAGATGCGTGATGCTGGCTTTCGGAAGCACGTCCGTTCACGCTCCCGCCGCTGCTCATTCCTCTGTTCTTCCGTGCTCCCCTCTGCCTCTCCTGCAGCCCTACGGGCGGACCCACCCGCCGGTCGTCGAGAGGTGGTTGGACCGCCGAGGAGGTATGCACCCTCGCAGCCGTACCCTCCACCTCGCACCCTACCCTCGCATCCATACCACTTCGATTTCACTAAGCAGTTGGCGTAGGCAGCCTGTACGCTTCGGCCGGGGAAGGCCAGAAAGTATTCCGAACGCCATCGAGTCTGCTTCTTCGGCGGTTTCCTTTGTTTCTTACAGCTCATGTTTTTAAGAAAAAATGCTTCTGAGTCCCTTGACTGTTTCGTGTGCGGGCAAAGTCATGTCATGGCTGGATAAGACTGACGCTCGCCTCTTCCCCTTCTCCCTTTCCTCCCGTCTTCCTTCGCGTCAGGACGAAATCCTACGGCGAGCAGTGCAATGCTATAAGGGCAAGAACTGGCGTAAAATAGGTGAGCCTTTTTTACGTTTTGTGATGCTAGCGAAAAGTGTGCCGCAAAGGTGATAGCGTCGGATGTGTGTAACATCGTGTTAACGGCTTGCTGTTGCTTTCGCCTGCGATCCGATCTCCCCTCCCCACCCGGTTCGCTACCAGCGGAGTTCTTCCCCGACCGCACGGACGTGCAGTGCCTGCACCGATGGCAGAAGGTGCTCAACCCCGACCTTGTGAAGGGTCCCTGGACCAAAGAGGTACGCTCTTAGATCAAGCGGGTGGAGGGCCGGACCAAGCATGTCGGCACGTTGGATCGAGCAGTCAAGGGAAGAGGCAGTTTGTCAAGCTGGGTGGAGCTGAGAGAGCCGTCTCTCAGCGCGCCGACGTTTCTCACTTGCGTCGCTCTCGTTCTTCGGTTGGCCGATGCTGCCGATCAAGCCTAAACTCAGATTCGGAAAGACGTTCTACGCAGCAATGTTAGCAACGGCCTGGTACCGAGCAGGTCGTCGAACCTCCTCCAATACTCCTGACTGCTCATGTCGTGTCTGCCTCGTTTTCCTCTCTTCCAGCCTTGCCCTCGGCGCGGCACTGTGCCACCATTATGACGCTCATCGCGCATCGCTCATCGCTCATCGCGCATCGCTCATCGCTCATCGCGCATCGCGCATCGCTCATCGCTCATCGGCCATCGCTCATCGTTCGTCGCTCATCGCACCGCACCTCATCGCGCGCATGACTCGTGTGTCCGCCGCCGTTTCCGCCCTTTCCCCGCGCGCTGGCAGGAGGACGAGCGCATAACGGAGCTGGTGGCGCAGTACGGCGCAAAGAAGTGGTCGCTCATCGCGCAGCACCTGCCGGGGCGCATCGGCAAGCAGTGTCGCGAGCGGTGGCACAACCACCTGAACCCGGGCATCAAGAAGGAGGCGTGGGGCGAGCACGAGGACGTGCAGCTCATCAAGGCGCACAAGCTCTTCGGCAACAAGTGGGCCGAAATCGCCAAGTTCCTGCCCGGCAGGTGCGTGCGGGGTGTGGGAGTGCCTGCGTTTTCTGGATGCGTTTGCAGTTGGTCGGGAGGGGTATCCGCATCTCGTCGCGCGCGTGGTAGGCTGGTTGCCTGTCGTGCCTGTGTTCTCCTGCAGGCTCGTCCCGCGGTATTGGTTGAAAGCGCGCTCAACCAGCGCGCGCATCCAGTCAGCGCGCGCCTGCGCACCCGTCTGTGCATCCACTCGCCTTGCCGCCTCCGTGCATCCGCGCGTGCTTCCGTTACTCATCTTGTTTGTCCTGCTCCTATCCCCGCTTCGTTCCCCGCGGACCCTTCCCCCTTCCCCCTCGGCCCGGCAGGACGACAACTCGATCAAGAACCATTGGAACAGCTGCATGAAGAAGCGCGCCGAGCTCTGCACTCTCGCGGACCTCCTCGCGCTTCCGCCGTCACCCGGGCTCCCCGAAATCCCCATCTCCGCGGAAGTGCTGCAGGCCGCGCGCGAGGGGAAGCCGCTTCCGCCCATCGGCGGAGACGGCGTCTGCGGGAGCGGGAGCGGGGGAGAGGAGGAGGAGAATGGAGGGGAGGAGGTTGATGACGATGCGGAAGCGGAGGAGGGGGCGAGAGGGGCCGAGGTTAAAGGGAAGGGTAAGGGGAAGGAGCGGGCGGGGGAGAGGGAGAACGGAGGGTCGCAGCAGGGGGAGGAGCAGATGGAAGTGGCGGTGGGCATGCCTGCGCTGCCCCGAGGCCACTTTCAGGGGAACGTTCAGGTGCTTCCGCAGCAGGTGGTGGTGAAGCTAGAGATGATGGAAGAGCAACGTCGGCAGCAACAACGGGAGCAGGAGCAACAGCAACAGCAGCAACACGACCAGCAGCAGCAGAGAGCTTATCCAACTGTGTCTGGCAGTCGTCCAGGCGTGTCGTTGTCCCGTCCCTCACCATCCGACGCCATCCCAAACCCCTCTTGCACGCCTCGCTCCGCCGCCGCCCCCAGTCCGGCTCAGCCTTTCCGCCAGCGCGGGTGCCAGCCCCCCCACATCCCCGGAGAAACACTCCGCCCCCTCCGCGCGCCTGTCCCTTTCCGGACCTCCTGCTGCCCGCCCCGGCCAAGCGCCAGTGGCGAGCGGCCCCAATCCCATGTCCAGCGGCTCACAGAGAGTGAGCGGTGCCCCTCTGCGCGCAATGCAGTGCGCCTCAGGCGCAGCCCCAGCCCCAGACGCAGGGGCCGGCGCAGACGCAGGCACAGGGGCAGGCGCAGGTCCAGCCAATGGCGCCGGGCGTACACCTGACGAGCGGCCGCTGTCGCGTGGGGCCCACCAGCCGCACCATCACGCTGCTAGGCGGCAGACTGCCGTCCGCCCTGGCGTGTTCTCCCGAAGAGAAAGGACCCCGCCCTGATGGGGATGAGGAAGGCGATGGTGGCAGTGGTGCTGGCGCTGACGTGGCACACGGTGGAGTGGCAATGCAGGGCGTGGGGCAGCAGGGTGCCGTGGTGCAACAGGGGGCCATGGTGCAACAGGGGGCCATGGTGCAGAGTCAGCAGCAAGCTCAGCCGAACGGTCACTACCAGCACCAGCCAGAGCAGCATCAATATCAGCATCAGCAACAACAGCAACCACAACTGCAGCAGCAGCAGCCGCAGCTGCAACAACAACAGTCGCAGCTCCAGCAGCAGCAGCCGCTGTGCTCACGTGAACCTCCGCCAGCCAGCAGCAATTCCTTTCCGCGCTGCCCGCCTCCCTACAGCGCCCCCGCGCCCCTCTCCATCAACGCGTGCGCGCCTCTCAACTCCGTCGCACCCCTCCGCATGCCCTCAGCGCAGCCCCCAGCCATCGCAAATGCCCCCCGCTGCGCCAGCATGCCCGCCAGCAGCGCCGCGCCCCCCCATCCCCCCACCAACTCTGGCCCCCCGCTCGCACTGGGCTCCGCGCTTCTGTCTTCTGGTGCGCCCAACAGCAGCGCGCAGGGGGGAAGTGCGGAGCCGAGTCTGCTGCGCATAGCGTGCAGCAGGCCGCTGAATGCGCCTGGCGGGATGGGCATGACCCGCAGCAGCAGCAGCAGCCAGCCACAAGCCATGCAGCCGTGGCCGCAGCAGGCGCAGCAGCAGCATCAGAACCAGTCAGGGTTTGCGCCCCTAAGGGATACCTCACGTTATGCTGCCCCCACATCTGCACCGGTCCCTGCTCGCCCGGCGCTCACTCTACCTTCACCAGCCGTCCTCTCTGCTGCCCCTCTTCCCGCTCCTGCTGCCGCCCCTGCTGGCGCTCCCCCCAGCGCTGCCCCTGCGTCCTCGTCCTTCCTGCACCTGCCCTCGCGCCCCGCTCTCACCCTCCCCCAAGCGCGGCCAGGGCCCAGCCAGCAGCAGGCGTACCTGCCTCAGCAGCAAGGGCCCATGCCGCACACAAGCTCCACGTGCGCACCTCAGCAGCAGCAGCAGCAGCAGCAGCAGCGCCAGCAACCGCCGTCACAGCCTATGTATTATCAAAGCCAAGGGCAGCAAGCATTTCAACCACCGCAGCAGCAGCCACGGCAGCAGCAACAACAGCAGCTACTGCAGCAGCAGCAGCAACAGCAGCCACCGCAGCAGCAGCAGCAGTATCAGAACGGGCCAATGCCACCATGGCAGCAGCGGGGTCTCCAAATGCCATCCTGCCCTCCCCCTCCTCCTCCCCGCGCCCCTCCACCACACTCCATCATCGCCCCCTCTTCCTCCGCCTGCGCGCCCACACCCGCCCGCTCACCACCACCACCGCCACCAGCTTCGGCTGCCTTCACTGCCGGCCCCACGCAGCCCCAGTACGGCCAGCAGCCCCGCTGCCGCTGCCCCATGCCCCACCCTGCCTGCACTCCCTGCTGCCCTCCTCCTCCTGCTCCTGCCCCTGCTTCTGCTGCTCGCCCTGCTCTCTCCTTGCCATCGGCCTACTCCACAGGTCCACTGCACGTGCATCAGCAGCAACAGCAGCAACAGCAGCAACAGCAGCAACAGCAGCAACAGCAACAGCAGCAGCATCAACAGCAACAACAGCGACCTGTTCACATGGCACCTCAAACCGCACCGCCAGTCCCAGCACCAGCACCACCACCAGCAGCAGCTGCAGCAGCAGCAGCAGCCCCATCCCTGTTGTCCGTGCCTCTCATGCCCACTCAGGCACCAGCAGCAACACCGGTGGCACCAGCGTTATCAGCACCACCAGCACCAGCCTCAACAGCGGCAGCAGCAGCAGGACCACCTCGAGTTGCCCCTGCTGCTAACACTCCCTCTCCGCCCCCCGTTGCTATGCTAGCAGACACCAAACCCCAAATCCTTCCAGGCAGCCGAAACTCTGTAACGGGTGGCAGCAACGCTGTTCCAAGCGGTACCACATTGGCAGGCGACGCTGCAGCACAAGGGCGCGCAGCAAGCCGTGCAGGCGGAGCCTGGGAGTCCAGGGTGGAAGTGAAGGCGGAGAGTGACGGCATGCGAGGGCGCGAGGGGGCGGAGGAGGAGGAGGCGGCAGCGGTGCAGCGGCTGCTGAGTCTGGACGGGGCGGCAGCAGAGCCGCTGTTCCAAGCAGCGGAGCAGGCAGTGCATGAGTACCATGCGACTCAGGGCTTCCAGGGCAGTCAGGGCGGCCTTGCATGCGAGGCTGGATCCGCGGTGACTGATGCAGGAGCGACTGGCCCCACCACCGCCGCCGCCGCCGCTGCTGCTGCCGCGCTGCTGCGAATACTCCCACTCCTGCGTCTGCTGCGGCTGTTGCAGCAGCAGCAGCAGCAGTGCCAGGGCTGGTGACGGTGGAGAGGGCAGTGGAAAGGGCGGTGGACGATTCGCTCTTCTACGTGCCGCCGCAGCTGGACCACCTCGATGCTGCGCCCTCCACTGCTGTCTCCTCCGCGCCCCCTCCCCTCGTGCCCCTGCCCCCCCTCTTCGACTCGTTCCTCCTCAGCCCCACCACCGGCCCCGCCCTGCCTGCCTCACCGCAAATCACCGCTCTCAACCTCCCCTCCTCCTCTGCGCAGCCCTTCTCCTCGCCTCTCGGCCTGCGCCAGATGCTACCTCCTCTGCCGTGCACCGGCTGCCAGACCCCCAGGCAGATGCAGCCTGCCGCGCCCTCTGCGGGCTGTCAGACGCCAGTGAACGCCATCTTCTCAGGCCTCTCGCCCTTCCTCTCTGGCCGCAGCCCCCCCTCGTGCGCTGCCTCGCTGTCCATGTCGTGCCTGCTGCTCAGTGCTGGCCGCTCCCTGGACGGCCCTCCTTCCATCTTCCGCAAGCGCAGGAGGGTGGTTGAGGTCACTGCCAACGCTTCTGCTGCCACGCCTCCACCTGCTTCTCGTGTTGCTGCTGCGGCTGATAGTGCTGCTGCTGCCGATGATGCTGACGGGGCTACTGTAGGTGCCGCAAAGGGCGGGGAGGAGCGGGGGGAGAAGGGAAAAGAGGGTGGAAGAGAGGCGGAGGGAGTGTTGGAATCGGGCAGGGTGCTGGCTCTGCTGAGGGAGCAGCCAGAAGGGCTGGGCAGTGCACAGCGCAGAGCAGGGTCAGCGGGTGCAGAGGAGGCCCCCACTGCAGGTGGGGCTGGAGAAGGCGGTGTCACTAAGGGGAGTGATACATGCGATGTTGACCGTGACGGGCGTGATAAGGGCGGGCTGCTTCTGCGGATGGGCAATGGTGCTGACAGTAAGGATGGTGGCAGCGAGAATGAGAAGGGGAGTGAGAGTGGTGTAAAGGTCGGGAATGAGAAAGGGAGGGGCGGCGAGGGGCTGCGGCGTGAGAAATCGGGCGAATGGGGCCTGGATGGCGAGAGCAGCCCGCAGAGGAGTTTGAAGTGTGAACGCCCCGCGTGCAGGCGGGCAGCTGTGAAGGATGGCCGTGCAACCGACCTGGGGGACAAGGAGGAGCAGAAGGAGGAGGAGGAGGAAGTGGAAGTGAAGGAAAGGGAGGGAAAGCAGGAGGGACCGGGAAAGGAGCAGGAGGAGGAAGAGGAGGAAGCACAGGAGGAGGAAGAGGAGGAAGAGGAGGATCCGGCTGATTTCGCTCTGCCTGCAGCTGCCATTGACGGTGAGGATGGAGAGGGGGGCGTTCACTGCGGGCCGGTGACGTGGACGCTGACACGTGGCAAGAGCGTGAGCCCTGAGGGCAAGAAGCGCGCGCGAGAGGGCGAGGAGGATGGGGTGCAGGCAGGGGCGAGGGGAGGAGGCGGCATGGGAGGAGCAAGGCCGGAAGGGAGAGTGTCTCCGAGGAAGCAGCTGAAGCTGGATGGGGAAGTTGCGACGGTGGCTGCTTCTGCTGGCGCTGCTGGCGCTTCTGGTGCTGGCAATGGGGCCCTGCCCCTGAGCCGTGTGCTGCACTTGGAGCTGGATGCGGCTGCTGACACCCACATGCATGACGCCATGCATGGCAGCAAACCCAGTCATGAGCTCACCACGCCGCACTCAAAGAAGCACGAGCAGCAGGGTGCATCCTTGAGCAAGCCGCTCTCCTCGTCCTCCACCCTCCCATCCCCCCCGCTCTGTGTTTCTGCCTCGTCCACTCGAGATGCCTCGTCCCCATCATCCCTCGCGCCCGTACCCTCCTCAGACACCCCCTCTACCGACTCTCCTGCTGCCACTGCGCCTGCGCATGCTGATGCTCCTCAGCCCACATCTGCACCTGCTGCCCCTGCTGCTGCTACAGCAGCAGCACCACCATTACCAGCGTCACTAGCAGCTGGTGCCGGGGCAACAGTGGGAGTGGTGGGGCGATCGCGTCTGGGTACAGTTCCTGTGGTGGCCTCCCCTAGAGTGGGTCCGCTGCGGTCAGGAGTGGTGGAGAATGGTGAGAAGGTGGGGGCAACGGAGGAGGGGAGTGCAGACGGGGAGAAGGAGCGGCAAGAGAGCAGGTGTGTGCAGGGCACTGGTGCCAGCGGTGCAGACAGCAAGCCGTGTGACTCTTCTGACACTGCTGTAGCTGCTGCAGTGAAGGTTGGGACCAAGGCAGGCAGCACCACAGCAGCAGGCTCACACAAGGGTCCGGCCCTGAAGGCACAGACGAGGAGGCTCATCCGCAAGGTGCTGCCTGGGGGAGGCGTTGACTGGCAGGTGGCGGCTGTGGGGCCTGGGCTCGCCAGCCTCAGGGGCATCCTGCAGGCTGCCTCCGGTGCACCACCGCCCCTCACAGGAGCCCTGCCCTCGCACATACGCACTGGCACTGCTGGGGGCACAGGGGCAGCAGCAGCAGGAACAGCAACAGCAGTGGCGGTCCCTGCAGGGCCTTTTGGATCCGGGCGCCTGCTGTCCTCTGCAGCAGCTGCAGCAGCAGCTAAGGCTCGGCCCGCACCGAGGGAGCTTTGCTCGCCGGAGCTGGCAGGTTCAGGTGCGAGCGTGAGCTACTCAGGGTGCTACAGCAGCTGCAGCGGCAGCCAGTCGTGCATGAGCGGGGCGCTGTCCCCCTCAGTGACACCAGCGACCTCCCCTCCTGCGGCATCCCTGATGGCCGCCATAAGCACCATGGCCTCTGCCACTGTCACGTCTGCTGCTGCTGCTGCACCGCCTCCGCCCCTGCAGATGCCCTCACCTGCGCAGCCCCAGCTGCCCCTTGTTCATGGGAAGGGAAGCAGCAGGGCCGGTAGTGCGAGGGTGGCCCTGACTACTGCTGGTAGCAGTGGCGGTGGCACTGCTGCTGGTTCTGCTGCCAGTGGTGCTGAGTGTGCGTCTGCAGAGGCTGGTGATGCGGCAGTAGCAGAGGTTGGTGAGACCATGGCTGAGGGGGGCTCACGTGCTGCCCATGGCCACACTGCTGCTTCTGCAGCACCTGATGCAACACCTGGTGCATGTGAGGTTGACCCGCTTGAGTGTGCTGAGGCAGTGAGTGACGTGGACGCAGCAGTGGCAGCAGAAGGCAAGCCATGCATGGCACTGCCATCACCACAAGCGCCACAGCACAAGGCACCAGCAACACACAACGCCTCCACGTCTCCTCCTCGCCCGCTGAAGCGCCCCTTCTCTGCTGCTGACAATGCCGACCCACCAGCTGATTCCAGTGCTGCTGCTTGTGGCTCTGCTGGTGCTGCTGAGGGTGGCGCCGGTGGTGGTGGAGCGAATGGCGGAGAGGCAGGCTCAGCAGCGGGGGGAGGAGGAGAGGAGGGTTCAGAGAGGAAGGTGAGGCGGGTGCGACCGCCGCTGCACCGGTGTGTGGGCAAGCCGCAGCAGCAGGTGCAGGTGCAGGGGGAAGGAGAGGGCGAGGGTGGAGAGGCGGAGGGAGAGGCAGCAGGCGGTTGTGCTGGTGTGTTGTCCCCACCCCCTCTCAAGCGCGTGGCAGCAGTGCGAGCAGCAGCAGCAGGGGAGGGGCAGGGGAACAGCTTGGGCCGAGCAGAGGCAGGAGAGGGTAATGGAGGATCTACTTTGGTGGGAGGGGGTGAGGGGGCAGCAGGGTCGGAGGGGCAGTGGGTGTTGCAGGAGGTGGGGGTGGAGGGGTCGCTCTTCTCCCCAACGCCGCCTTCACGTGCGGGTATGGCGGGCGTGGCATCATCACTCGCCTCACCCATGTCGCCCTTCACCGCTCGCTGGCTCTCGGTACGTTGCTCCCCTGCTCAACCCCTCTGCTTCAACACTCATTTCCTCCCTTTCCCCGCCTCCCTTCACTCTCCTGCATCTACTATCCCTCCCATACTGCTACCACGCTGTCCTCCACTGCCCTTGCCTTCTGCCTGGCCCACCGCCCTTATCTCATCCATCTTGCCTGTCCCACTGTTCTCCCCGCCCGTCTTCTCCCCCGCTCCTTCCAGCCTGTGAGGCCGCAGGCACTGGCATCGCTTGACGTCTTCCGCTGCAGCACGCCCGCGTCGATGCGCAAGGCGGGCTTTGCTCGCTCCCATGCGCACTCTCACGCAAACACACACGCGCCCATGGTGGATGGTGACGCTGCTGACTGTGACCTGGCAGCGGGCACTGGGCTCAGCAAGACCACGTGGGGCGAGCCCATCAGCCCTGCCAGCTACCTGCTGCGCGAGTACCGATGACGCACGCTGCACTTGATACTACAGAATATTACATACCGGAGTATTATATGGGATGGTTATTAGATGTGGTTGAACTTAACCGCATTTAGCCTAATAGTATGACCGTACGTTAGACAGGAACGGAAAGGGACTCACTTTCTTGTTCCGCTTACAGGTATGGATTGACAAGTATATCCCAGTAGTACAGTATGTAGTGTATACTTGTGTTGCTCTAACATTTGAATTTGCTTTTTGAAGAGTAGTACTTCGCAACTGGTTACAAACAATGCGTACAACAATGTCCCTGGGCCTCGACCGTTGTTAGCCCGTCACCAGCCACCAGTGTTGCCGGGGCATTTTGTTTTTGGACAAATGTTCCACGCCCTTATTTTGCTTTTTTTGTACTCGGCCACCTCCTTTCCGCGTGCCAGACTATTCATTTAGGGAAAGAGCATAGAGATTGAGGAATGAGATTGACATCTGGTATCGTGTATTGTGTTTCGGGTTTATAATATCGCGTGCATTCCGATTACCGATCACCCGCCTGGTGTGTCCACCTTTCTACTCCCGAAGGCATTAGTCAGCTGCAATGCTCACCCGCACGCTCCGCCTACCAATTCCGCGCGCGCCGCTACCACCGCCTCTCGGGGCTGACCGCTTTGCGCCTGCGCGAGCCGAGGCACGAAGCGCGGAGGGATCGGACGGTGGGAGAAAGAAAGGCGGCCGAGATGGTGGGAGTGGAGAAATTGCGGCGCCGTCTCTGTCCAATCAGCGGACAACACGTGCGAATGGGGGAGAGAACGGCGGAGGGCGGAAGAGCCGGAGTGGCAGAAGGGAGAGCGGAAAGTCGGCGGCGGAGGAAGCGGAGAGCGCTGCTGGCAGCAGCGGGGCCGTGACGGACTCAATGCGGCGCAACGCGCTGGCGACGGCGGACGCGCTGCGCAGCAAGAGCCGGCGCGCCAAGAGATGGCTCGGACAGGTGCGGCGGGGGGAGCAGGGGAGGCGTGGGGGGGAGCAGGCGAGGTGGGAAGCGGGGGAAAGGGCGTGCATGGCGGGAGAGGCAGTGCATGGCGGGTTACAAGCGGTGATGGCATGGCATGTGCGGGGAGAGTGTGAGCAGTGTGGTGGGGCCTGGCGGAGGCAGTGTGGTGGGGCCTGGCGGAGGCACGCTCGCCCTGTGTGGCACAGCGTGGTGTGGCGGGGCCTGACGTCATCCCCTTGCAGCTCCCTCACACCCCACTACTGCGCCCCGTGCACTGTGTCCCCCGTGCCCCGTGCCCCGTGCCCCGTCCCCCGTGCCCCGTGCCCCGTGCCCCGTGCCCCGTGCCCCGTGCCCCGTGCCCCGTCCCCCGTGCCCCGTGCCCCGTGCCCCGTGCCCCGTGCCCCGTGCCCCGTGCCCCGTGCCCCACAATCCCTCTCTCCTCCTGTCACACCACCTCACTCACTCCCTGCCGCACCCCCTTGCGCACCCCCTTCCTCACCCCCTTCCTCATCCCCTTTCTCAACTCACTCCCTCCTCAACCCCTTCCTCAACCCCAGCCCCACCCGTCACCCCCCCACCCCCCCACCCCGCCCTTTCCCCCTCCCCCCTCCCCCCTCTCCCCCCTCCTCCCTCCCCCCTCCGCCCTTCCCCCCGGCAGAAATATCTGGTGCGGGGCAGCATCAGCACAGCCACGGTGGCGGCAGCAAGATGGATGTAGAGTCGACTGAAACACCCTCTGCCAGCCCCATCCCCAACCCCCCCCACCTCCACAACCCCCTCCCCATCAATACCTATCCCCCCACCCTAACCCTTAAGTGGCGAAATACGCGTATAGCGTATATACGCGTGTCGTATATACGCATGCGTTTATACGCTATATGCTAAGGTCCCGAATCCAGGAATACGCTTTTTCGGGCAGGGTAAAAAAAAACCCGGGCAGGGTGAAAAAAACACCCTAGGTATAGTTCACAGGGGCGATTCACGGAGGTTGTGTCTCAGGTTCATTTTTTCCCCTATGACGCGAAATGCTTAAAGACTTCGTGCTCAACATCGGGAAGTTACTTCCCTAGTCTCACAAAGAGGACGTGCCCTATCGTTATCTTGCGTGGGATCGGGTGGCGGGTTGGGAACAGTAGACATTGATTGCGTTTTGGACTAGGAGTGAGTGACTAGGTGAGTACGACGAAGTAGATCTGACGAGAAACGATGTGTTGGAGGGGACGTAGTGGAAAGGTTGGAGTTCGTAGATTGGGTTCGGTTCCAAGAGGTGGAACCCTGAAATTCGAAATTGCAACTCCAACCTGAATCCAAACATTGAAGTGACATTCCCGCTACCATAGATCTCCGATGCGCATTTCGACCACCGCGAAATGATCGCCGTGAAAAACGGCAGATTTCTTTATATTCCTGAAAATTTTCACCTTGGGCTGCCCAGAAAAAAACTCCCGAGCGTATTGCGTATTTGCTAGCGTATTGCGTTTTGCGTGTATACGCAAGCGGATAAACGCTATACGCTTAAAGGCAAAAGCGTATTTCGCCACTTAGCCTAACCCCTCACCCCCCACCCTAAACCCTCACCCCCCACCCTAACCCCTCACCCCCCACCCTAACCCCTCACCCCCCACCCTAACCCCTCACCCCCCACCCTAACCCCTCACCCCCCATGCTAACCCCTCACCCCCCACCCTAACCCCTCACCCCCCACCCTAACCCCTCACCCCCCACCCTAACCCCTCACCCCCCACCCTAACCCCTCACCCCCCCAGCACTATCTGCTGCGGGACGACATCAGCGCGGCCACGGTGGCGGCAGCGGGAGTGGTGGCGGGCGACGTGGTGGTGGAGGTGGGGCCGGGCACGGGCGCTCTCACCGCCGCACTCGTGGCTGCCGGGGCGCATGTGATTGCTGTGGAGAAGGTGCGAGGGGAGGAGAAGGTGCGAGGGGAGGAGAAGGGGAGTGAGAGGCGGGGAGGCGGGGAGGCGGGGAGAAGGTGAGAGGTGGGGAGAAGGGGGGTGAGAGGTAGGGAGAAAGTGGGAGACGGGGGGGAGAAGCGGATTGTAGGCGCAGTGGTGGCAGTGCCGAATGTTTGCTGCCTCTTGTGGGAAGATGCTAAGGGTGGTCATTCCACTCCTTCGTCTCTCTGCTGCTCGTCCCCACATCTCCCCCCACCGCCGATTCTCTCTCCCTCCTCAACTGCTTGTGTTCTCCCTGCCATCATTCATCTCCCTGCCATCGTTCATCTCCCTTCCATCGTTCATCTCCCTGCCATCGTTCATCTCCCTGCCATCATTCATCTCCCTGCCATCATTCATCTCCCTGCCATCATTCATCTCCCTGCCATCATTCATCTCCCTGCCATCATTCATCTCCCTGCCATCATTCATCTCCCTGCCATCATTCATCTCCCTGCCATCATTCATCTCCCTCCCATCGTTCATCTCCCTGCCATCATTCATCTCCCTGCCATCATTCATCTCCCTGCCATCATTCATCTCCCTGCCATCATTCATCTCCCTGCCATCATTCATCTCCCTGCCATCATTCATCTCCCTCCCATCGTTCATCTCCCTCCCATCGCTGCCATGTTTTCATTTGCCCTGTCAAGTCGCTTCGCTTGCCCCATGTGTCTCTGACATTCCTCATGCCCATCACATCCACCCACCGCACTGCACCGCTCAGGACCCTGACATGGTGCAGCTGGTGCGGGAGCGCTTCGCCCAGTGCCCACAAGTCGAGGTGCGCACGTCCCTCCCCTCCCCTAACGGTCCTTCTCATTGAATGTAACAAACGGTACAGCAAGTGTAAGACAAGCGCTATGAAGCATATTCACTGCTACGATATGCGCGGGCATGTAAGTGGTGATACACACGTGGTGGGCTACCCAAGCGACTCTAGAAGCCTACCATACAACCTGTGAGTGCCGATGGGTACTGGGTTCGTGTCCAGCGTGGGGTGGCTGGCGGTATTGTGTGCCGTGGGGTGACCTGGCCGTGTGATGCTGCTCTGCACCTTGCTACCCACCAATGGCTGGGCTGGTTGCTTGCCGGCCAGAGCTGGAGTGCATGTGTCACGAGGGGGGGAGCTGGGGAGGTGCACTCACCCACCCACCTCAGGCTCACGCCTCCTGACCGGCAGCAGGTGCCCGGCAGCTATGGGCCATGGGTCAGCCGCTGGTTGCAGCGATGGGCCATGGGTCAGCCGCTGGTTGCAGCGATGGGCCATGGGTCAGCCGCTGGTTGCAGCGATGGGCCATGGGTCAGCCGCTGGTTGCAGCGATGAGCCATGGGTCAGCCGCTGGTTGCAGCGATGGGCCATGGGTCAGCCGCTGGTTGCAGCGATGGGCCATGGGTCAGCCGCTGGTTGCAGCGATGGGCCATGGGTCAGCCGCTGGTTGCAGCGATGGGCCATGGGTCAGCCGCTGGTTGCAGCGATGAGCCATGGGTCAGCCGCTGGTTGCAGCGATGAGCCATGGGTCAGCCGCTGGTTGCAGCGATGGTTGCTGCCGCTGGTAACGCTGGTTGGTTCCACTAGCATGTGTCTGCCTGCCAGCCTGTCTGCCTGCCAGCCTGTCTGCCTGCCAGCCTGTCTGCCTGCCAGCCTGTCTGCCTGCCAGCCTGTCTGCCTGCCCACGCCTGCCCACCCACCTGCCCGCGTGCCCTCCTGCCTGCGTGGCCATGTGGGTCAGATATCATGTGTTGTGGCCCATGTGGGTCAGATATCATGTGTTGTGTTGGGCTGTGTTGGCCTCGCATGTGTCGTGCCCAGCTGCTTTATGTGCCTCCCCTTGCCATCGCTCATCCCTTTGGCCTGCACTGCTTGCCCTGTGCTCGTCCCTCTCCTTGCCCACCCTCGTCCTCTCCTCTTGTCTGCATGCCCTGTGCCACGCCCACCACGCCAGGTGGTGCACGCGGACATCCTCAAGTGGCCCGTGCACGCCTTCCTGCCTGCTCGCCTGCACCGCCTCACAGGCACGGCAGGGGGTGACGCACAGACGCTGGGAGGGGCGGAGGGAAGGGCAGCACAAGGCCAAGGGGCGTTGGCGAGTGGCGGGGCAGAAGCACGCACGAGTGGGATGGAGGGTGTGGTGGGCGAACCGCCGGTGCCTCTTGCTGCTGCATGCCCTGCTGCGGCTCCCACAGCTGACGCTGCGGCGAGCAGAGGCAGCGAGGGGAGTGGAGGCAGCAGTGCCGTGCGCGCCAAGGTGGGTAGCGTAGGCTCAAGGCTGAAGCCAAGGTGGGTAGTGTAGGCTCAAGGCTGAAGCCAAGGTGGGTAGCGTAGGCTCAAGGCTGAAGCCAAGGTGGGTAGCGTAGGCTCAAGGCTGAAGCCAAGGTGGGTAGCGTAGGCTCAAGGCTGAAGCCAAGGTGGGTAGTGTAGGCTCAAGGATGAAGCCAAGGTGGGTAGCGTAGGCTCAAGGCTGAAGCCAAGGTGGGTAGCGTAGGCTCAAGGCTGAAGCCAAGGTGGGTAGCGTAGGCTCAAGGCTGAAGCCAAGGTGGGTAGCGTAGGCTCAAGGCTGAAGCCAAGGTGGGTAGCGTAGGCTCAAGGCTGAAGCCCATGCGGCGCACAGGCGTGCGCAAGTGCTTGCCTATTTAGGCCTCCGTGGTTGGAGGGCGGAGCTCATCCCACACTTGGCTGTCTGGATCGCCTCCTTCCTCCTTCAACGTCTGGACCACAAAGAAATGTTCACAGCGGGTGAGAAACCAAATTTTCACAAAAATGTATACATATATATATTGTTTTTTTATAGATGGGGGGTGCCTCTTGCTGATGTGACTAAAATGAAGGGTAGAATGGCCAAAAGGCTGGCCGGTCACGAACCTACAGAGGCTCGAGATGAAGCTCCATAAGCCGTTGCGAGGATGGACTGTGGGCTGTTTGAACAGGAAAGGCCTAACTCAGGCACCCTCAAACCCAGGCATGAGGTCAGACCCAGTTTACACCTTCAACATCACCACTGCCTTCCCCTTTAATGCCCCGCCTTACGTGTCTCTCCCCCAGGTGGTGACGAACCTGCCCTTCAACATCACCACGGACTTCCTGCGCCTCTTCCTGCCCCTTGGCCACCTCGTCTCCACCGTCGTCTGCATGCTGCAGGTGAGGCATGCTGCAGGTGAGGGATGCTGCAGGTGAGGCATGCTGCAGGTGAGGCATGCTGCAGGTGAGGCATGCTGCAGGTGAGGTGAGGTGAGGTGCGGTGCTGTGAGGTGACATGCTGCAGGTGAGGCATGCTGCAGGTGAGGTGAGGTGCTGCTAGGCCATGGTGTGATGGCGGGCTGCAGGTGACAGCTGGGAGGGCGTGGGGTGATGGCATGGTGTGTGGGTATGCTGTGATGCATGGCTGCAAGCATAATATCCACCTGTGTAGGAAATTCTCACATCCCCCCAAATCTCTCACCATCCCCCACCACTCCCCACCGGGCAGGATGACGCGGCACAGCGGCTGGTGGATGCCACACCGGCAGCGTCGCAGTACCGACCGATGAGTGTGTTGGTGCAGTACTATGCGGGTGAGTGTGTTGGTGCAGTACTATGCGGGTGAGTGTGTTGGTGCAGTACTATGCGGGTGAGTGTGTTGGTGCAGTACTATGCGGGTGAGTGTGTTGGTGCAGTACTATGCGGGTGAGCTCTCTGCTCTGCCTCTTCTATGAGTGTTCGTGCAGGTGAGCACTCGGCTCTGCCTCAGCAAGCAGCACCATGTCACTGCTTCCCCAATACACTGCAATCCCCTCATCTCTTACTCTGCAATCTCCTCATCTCTTACTCTGCACCCTTTATTCTCAATTCCCTCCTCATCTCGCACTCCCCTCTCCCCGTCTCTCACTCCCCTCTCCCCATCGCTCACTCCTCTCGCCCCATCGCTCACTCTCCCCCACCGGTGCATCACCGGGCGCCCATCAGATCCCACCTATCAGTTCTTCGTCAGCCGTCGCAGCTTCCTACCCCCACCCAATGTATGGCCCATGTCCCTTGCCCCGTGCCCTGTGCCCATGCCGCAAGCGCCATGCCGCATGCCGTAATCTGCATGCCCCATGCTCCACGCCCCATTCCCCCCATGCCCCATGCCCAATGCCCCGTGCCCCGTGCCCCATGCCCCGTGCTGCATGCCTCCAGTACCCAATGTCATGTGCACAATGGCACCCTGCGCACAATGGCACCCTGTGCATGTCATGTGCACAATGGCACCCTGTGCATGTCATGTGCACAATGGCACCCTGTGCATGTCATGTGCACAATGGCACCCTGTGCATGTCATGTGCACAATGGCACCCTGTGCATGTGACACCTTTCTTTTGTCCTCCGTTTCTGCTCCACGCAGTTGCATTAATCTCCTCAACTGGGCTCTCTTAATGACCATCTCATGTCTCGTCGTGTCTCCCATGGACCAGGTTGATGCAGCAGTCGTGTCATTCGCCCTCAAGCCACCAATGGAACGAGTCCATGTGGCATCGCCCACCCAGTTCTTCCACATGGTAACCACCCTAACGCTCCTCACAACACGGTGCCACCCATGCTCATTAGCCCACACGCGTTGCCACGGAGGTGTTGGATAGTGTGTGTTGACACACACTCTGTCACTCATTTATCGCTGCACCATCTGGTTTGTCGTCAGTCCTGCCCTGACACTCCTGCTGTCCCCCACACCCCACCGGCACAAGGGCAGGTGAACAGGGCGTTCCAGGCGAAGCGCAAGATGCTGCGGGCGTCGCTGCAGCCGTCCTACTCGTCACAGCAGGTGTCCGCTGCTCTGGAGGCGCTCTCGCTGCCCGCCACTGTGAGCCACGTGGTGCCGTTAGAGGGGCTCAGGGGGGAGGTGCAGTGCACACGGGGAGGTGCAGTGCACACGGGGAGGTGCAGTGGGTGGTGTGCTGACAGGGATGCAGCAGGTAAGCTTTGGTAGCTGAGTGTTCTCAATCGCTGTTGGCCCCTCTGAAGCGCACGCCACAGTGCCTCTCCTTCCAAGCCCCATGTTCCGTCCCTTGTTGCGCTGCCTGGCACAGCCCATTGCACTTTCGTTGCAAAGCAGTAATGCGTTTCACTACCTTCCACCCTAGTTGACACTCGATCGAATCAGCCCTGTTAGTCCCACGTTCCATACCATTACACATGCACACATAGCTTACTTGCACCCCTCTCACTGCCTGCGCGCCGATCACTGCCTGTGTGCGCTGCTTGCAGGCACGTCCTGAGGAGCTGTCATTTGAGCAGCTTGTTCTCCTCTTTAACCGCCTTCATGGCTTGTAGCACCGCGCTTGCATGCCGTGCACAGCTTAGTGGTGAACCACGTTATAGGTGCCATGGCCCATGATGTACGTGGCAGCAACTGCTGTTTAGGTGAAATAAGTTTTTGACTGCTTATAGAGCTTCAGGGGTTACAAAAAATGTCCAAGAAAACCAGCTTCGCTTACCACCAGTGTTTCCACCACTTCAACCGTTGCACTGTGCACACCTGCGTATGCCTACCTGCTTGTGCCCGACCCGAGTGTCACTGGCGAGCAAGGCTATGGTAGTACCGTATTACCCCGGACAAAAGCGCAGGTGCGCTTATAATAAAACAGTGTTTTTTGGGGGGGTGCGCTTCTAATTGAGGTGTCTGTATACGCGCATGCGCCTATAATAAGGAAAAAATGAAATTCACTTTTAAACATACTAAACTGAAGCCCGCAATAAGGCGAATCCAACGGACCATGCAACAGGTGGGATCGTGCATGATTTTCAGGCAAAAACAGCTGCGGTTCGGTTTCCCACCGCACAAAGTTGTCTAGAACCATCGAATGTGACAGGAGTGACGGGGATGTTGCCGTGCGGCCCAATCACAGCCGCATGCGCTGCGTGGCATCTGTATTTCTTCCGAACCCTCTCGAAGGGTGGGGAAGATTCCCTGCCAGCGCAGCGAATATGCTGCCACGCAGGTTCCTCTACGGGGGTAGGCGGGGGTTTCCTGCCTGTCATTGACGAGGACCCCGGGCCGCTAGCCCGCACGGGTCCCCGTCATTGCCCATTTCTGCACCCTCCTCCTCATTTTTTTCATTCAGTTTCTAGTCTAGCCCGCCTGGCTGGCAAAGCCATGGCGGAATTCAGTGGGACGCACCTCCTTTTCAAGAAGAAACCAACCCGCGCCTAGCGACTAATCTCGGACGGGTGGTATACACGTGAGCCACCAGCGCCTCCAGTGCCACCTACACCCCCTGCACCGCCTGCTCCACCTGCTCCTCCTGCACCTCCTGCTCCTCCTGCTCCTCCCGCTCCTCCGAATCCTCCGACTCCTCCTGTTCCTGACGCGTGGGGTCACCATCGGCCCGTGCTCCAGTTATATTTGCCTGCCACTTTCGACGAGTGGTTGTCTGAACCGGACACACCCAAGGCTAGGCAAATCAATGGTCCGCCGACTGCACCTCGGTGGGGAAATCCTGAAGCCTGCACGTGGGACGAGTCGGCTGTGGGCGCCGACGATGACGTGGCCGCCGATAAACAACCCACATGCGACGGCGATGCTGGAGGCGACGGTGGAGTCGACGGTGAAGAGGGCGCCGAGGAGGACGTGTTCTCAGATCGTGAAGCTACAGACGCGGACGACGACGGTGTGGAGTCTTGGTGGCGCGACGCACCACGCGAGAAGATGCCGATACCAACGTATCCGTCGATTAACAAAAAACGACCCCACCCCTCCTCTGAGAACCGAGATGCCCGCCCCCCCTCTCCCAAGCACAAGCCGACTCAACACAAACGGCAGCGCTACACCGCCCAGGAGAAACTGAAGTGGCTCGTTCGGCTGGAGCTTGCTGCATCGGTAAGCGAGGTCGCGCGGGAGTTCGGCATACACCGCAAATGCCTCACAGAGTGGAAAAACCAAGCGGAGGAGCTCAAGGCTGCACACAGTGCTCGGTGTCGACTTCATGGGCGCGGAAGGTCTTCCTGGTACAGACCCATGGAGATGAAGGTGTACGCCCAACTCCTGGACTGGCGACGCCGCGGTGTGGCAGTATCAGTCGGCCGGTTGCAAGAGTGGTCAAAAGAGGTGATGAAGGTGTTGTTCCCGGACGTCAAGTGGAAGGCGAGTCAACGCTGGACAGAGCGGTTCCGCAAGCGGTGGAATCTCACCGTGCGCATGAAAACAAAGGTGGCGCAAAAGACACAGCAGCGTAAGTGCCTGTCCGTGCACTGTCATCCTATCGTGAAATTTTATCTTGTATTTCAGTACTTTCTTGCCCATGTTTCCTTATCTGTAGCGGTGCTCATCCGCCCTTGTAATCGTTCCTCCCTCCCCGTGCGCAGACGTGGCCAAGCAGTGCAAGGAATTTTGGCAGTTTGTCCGCGACGCACGCCACGACTACGACATCGACAATCGTTACATCATCAATGCCGACCAGACGCCTTTGTGGCTGGAGATGCCGGCGACTACCACGGTGGAGCAGACGGGCGTGAAGTCGTTGCCCATCCGCAGTGGTGGTTACCACAAAGAGAGAGTCACTGTGATGCTGGCGTGCACGGCGATGGGCGAGAAGTTGAAGCCGTGGGTGTTTTTCAAGCGCAAGACCCTCCCAAAGGGTGACTTTCCAAACGGTAAGAAACTGCGTATGCGCGTGTTTCCGAGGGGAAAAACATAAGTAAAATCTAACCACCACTTGCTTGTATGCAGATGTCGTGGTCGGTTGCCAAGCTAATGGGTGGATGGAGGCCTCGGGCGTAATCGAGTGGCTCGGTGCAGGCGTGGTGCCGTTCCTGAAGCCGAAGTTCGGATTGCAGAGCCGGAGCGCCATGCTAGTGCTCGACTCCTATCGTGGACACCTGACAACCGAAGTCAAGGCGAAGTTCGCGGAACTCAACATCGTGCCGGCGGTCATCCCAGCGGGATGCACGGCAGACTTGCAGCCCCTCGATGTGTCGGTCAACAAAAGCTTCAAGGCGAGTGTTCGGCAGCAGTACCAGACCTGGTTCGAGCAGGACGGCATGAACATCCTGACACCCGCAGGTACGCAAAAGTGTTCTCCCGTGACCGCTTCGTCTGTATGTCTGCCTACTTGTGGACCCACGTGTTTCCCACCCCCGTGTATGTGGTGCAGGGAACATTAAGAAACCATCTCCGGAGGTGGTGCTCAAGTGGATTTCACGGGCGTGGAAAGCTGTGCCCGCCGACCTGATTAAGAGAGCGTTCCTCACCTGCGGCATCAGCAATGCCCTTGACGGGAGTGAAGACGGACTGGTGCTAGCGCACCGGAGAGGTCAGCTATCCCACGAGGTAGAGGTTGATGACGACATCCAAGCAGACGGGTTCTTTGGCAACAACTCCACGGAGCCTGAGTCGGATGAGGAGTAGGCCTTAGGCTAGACTAAACTTAAAAATGTCGTGTAGGCTAGGATGCTAGTCTAATGTATTTGACTTGAAAGTTTTAGTTGAATTTTTTAGCTAGAGTAATGTGGTTTGTACGAAGGTAGTAAAGAAAGTGAAAAAAACAACAGACATTCTTGTCTATATAGCAAGAGTGCGCTTATAATAAGTAAGGTTTTTAAGAGGGTGCGCTTCTAATTGAGGATCGGCCATAAGCGCATTGCTCCAGATAGAAGCGCATGCGCTTAACATAGGCCTGGGGTTATATCCGGGGCGATACGGTACCGTAGTCTATGACCCGACTGTTGGAAACAAGTAATTTAACGCTCCTGTTGTGACGAAACAATAGACTGCAAACGAGCGGAGCAACGGCGAGTCAACCGAGGAGGTTGACAGAAAGTACCGTATAGCCCCGGATATAAGCGCAGGCCATTTAAAGGCGCATGCACTTGTATCTGGAGCAATGCGCTTAGGGTACATTCCTGCCTTGACACTTGTGTCTCAATCCCCGTTTTCCCGAGTCGCGTCTGTCAGTGGGAGTAGAGCTAGCGGTGTAGCAGTGGGTGTGTATCAGGGGGGTGGGACTGTGTGCGGGAGGATGAGCGGAGGTTGCCAGTTTGTCGTCAGCAGCACCTGTAGTCCGGGGCGCTGTCCCGGTAGCCCAGTGAGCTAGACTTCTACGCCAGCCGCCTGTGGGTCCGTTGCCCGTCCGCCGCTATTTGAGCCGCGGGGCCTGTTACTCCTGTAGTCCGGGCGCTGTCCGGTAGCCGCTGTGCCAGTCTGCCTCCTGCTGCCCGTGTGTCTGCAGCTTCAGCCGTCGCCTCCTATCTCCTCTCCCCTCACTCTCCCTCCTCCTCCTCACCTGCCCGTTGTGACTACCACTAGCTTTGCTTATAATTGTGAACTCTAAACTATTTCTTCTTGAACTTGTGCTCAGAATGTGTGGTGATATTGTGATCCACCCTGAGCTTGTTTTGCTTTGCCTGCTCTGCTGATTACACCCCACTTTGGCTATGGGGGTGTGTCAGAATATTATTCTTATGTTCTAGCCTGTAGTGGGGTGCTCTATAGCGAGTACAACCCTTCTAGGGTTTGCTATTTGTATCCCCATTTCTGCTAGTTCATTCCTCTTTCTTCCTTCTAATTTTGTCAGCGTCGAAACATTTTGTCAATCTCGCGTCACAAGAGATGAATGTATCACGACACTAGGCGACCAGGCGAAATGCACAAATCTGCGCATTTGATTGGGTGAAACGAATGGCTGTACACCGGTTTCTTCAATCGTTTGGCTGGCATTTTGTTTGTGATGCGTGGGATTTTTTTCCCCGCGAATTTCGCTATGCAGGCGTCCAGATGCATTGACATTTCGAACCGCATGCGATTTTGTATGAATGTTGCGTCGGTTTACAATTCGTCAGCGACGTTAGCGCGTTTCACGCTGACCAATGAAAAATACAGTAGCAGCCGCTGAAATCCGACTCGCAATTGGGACACACTACAGTTTATGCTGTTTTTGGGTGTTACAAAGCGATTGAGACATTTGTGTCAAGGCAGGAATGTCAAAACATTGT